GAAAGCTGAGAGGGTGGAGGGACAAAACAGGAGTTGCAAATATTGGAAGGCAGGATAGATTAGGGTTTTTTTTCCCGAGACTCTGATTGCCTCTGAAAAAAATTACCAAGTTTTGTCTAGACTAATTTATAATTTCTAGATTAATCTGAAATGAGATTCAGATAAATACCCATTTGTACTCCTGAGGATAGGTTGCAGGACTTTTCATACTAGTGAGCATCGTGTGTGTGTGTGTGTGTGTGTGTGTGTGTGTGTGTGTAAGTCACATTGAAGAGACAATTTCCATATGGAAGACTGTTCTCCTTCCTAGAATGATGACCTGGATAGCTACATACCAGCACAGGCAACTTGGACCGCAGGTTAATAGAATATTGGCTGATTAAGTTTTATGAAGCACTTTGTTCAAATGCTTTACACAGCCCGACTACTGATATTCATTTAGGTAGTCATGTCATGCACACACTTAAACACTATGATACAGAATGACTGTGCATGAAACAACTAGCCGTAGAAGTGGGAAGTAATGTACTGTTCCTAAAGGTGATGGATAAAAAGAAAAGAACACAAGTAAATTCTCACTTGCCATTTATTGTTAGAAATTGCCATGTCAAGACATAGTAGGTTGAGTTGTGACCAGATTCATGTGGCAAAAATGATACCCAACATATGGCATGAGGCACAGCTGCTCAAGGCATCTGGATACATCTGGCCTAACTTCTATGCATCTGCTATAGCCCCCGCAGTTCTCAGTCCCACAGAACAGGGTTTGGTCAATCTCCAGTTCTTTTCTCACCATCAAGGAAATCCAATCCTGAAATCAAGGTGGTGAGAATACTAATAACAAGGCTGACTCCAGATGTTAGTGGAACCTTAATATGGTGCTGCTAAAGAGACCCTGTTTCAACTGGGAATGCTGCCATGTTTCCTATAACTTCTACCATCAGTCTCTGTATGGTGCCCCACTGGTGGTTACTCATTGCCACCCCCAGTCCCTTATGTCTCCTTCCCTCTTGTGCCTCAGGAGTACTTAGAATAAGCATGAAAGTTAATGTGGCATCTTTCCATCCCATCCTGTAGCCTATATTTTATCTTATTTTTAAAAGTCCACATAAGCTTCTCCCTACTTTTGTCCTCTCCCCCAACTTTTAGGGCAGGCTACAGGCCTGGCCTAACCATCACTCTATATCCATAATAAGCACCACACCCAGAGAGGGATGACTGAGAGCAGTGACAGAAATCAGCCATAGTTGGCATGGCCCAGACTTTACTAGGCATGTGGGAAGCAGCTTCACTAGGTCAAAGAAGGGTGAGAATCATGAGGGGAGCAATGGATGAGAATAGTGGAAAAACAGTTATTGATGCAGCAGGAACTATGCTGCAGAAGCACCAGACAGGGGCCTGATGACTGGTGTGGCATGATTGACAATGTGTCTTTATTAGCACCTGGGCTTTCAGCAGATGCCCCACTATGCCCCTGAGTAATGAAGATGAGTTACAGCAAAGCTTCTCAGGCCAAGCATTCAGTGAATAATAAATGTCCTAGTGTGCACTCAACTCAAGACTCTCCCCTCTTTAGATATGTGTACAATTTTGTTCTTTGAGGATCTCAGCATGCGTATGCTTATAATACACACAAAGACAGATGTGTGATATATGAGAAGTTGGAAGTATTTAAGGATCTATTGTTCGTTGTTGGAGGTAGTGACAAACTTCATCCATGGTTTGGATACTCATTGTTTGGACAACTTGGCATCCTCTTCTCTTTATCGATCTATCTTGTTTCACAGAGTGGTACCAAGGGACTCAGAGAAGTGGCACTGAAGCACCAATACGCAGAGGTTCTTAAATATTCGTGGGACCCAAACGGCTATATACAGGATGAGAAAACATGCTGCAAAGAACAACTTGTGCATACAAGTAATAAGGTGATGTTGCAGAATACCAGTGTTGGGAGGTAAGTTAAGAGCTGTAGGGAGAAACACCTACCACATCAGCCTTGGGGAAATATTCTTTCCTGTGACTTTGTGTACCAACTCAGGGGTAGAGGTGGAATGAAGCTCAGATGGTTAGAGCTATAGAAGATATTTACACACATACTTAAAATATACTTGAGATGGACTAAGTTAAGCAAATAAATAAACCATTATCCCACCCATCTACCCACAATGCACCTTTAAAGCCTCAGAATATTTTTAGTGCTCTCCATGATCCCAGAATTGTACCGAAATCTTTTGGAGTTGGCCAGAGTCAATGAGGTGCAGTCTTCCAAATTTGGAAGAAGTTATAGTCTCCAGTAGTATTCACGCTACCGTCCCAGAGGAAGAGACCAAGTAGCAGCTCCATTCTGTGGCGCTATATTCTTTTCTAGTGCCCTGAAAGAAATAGAGCATAAGGCATGTTCTATGGTTTCCAAGAACAGAAGCCATCCTAGCATCTGTGAAGAGACATGTTTTGGAAGTACCAGCACTAGAGGTATAGGAGAGGATGCAGGCAACTGAAGTGGAAGCATTGTGGACACTGAATATTCAAAGCATATAGCATGCCTGAAGTTCAGGAAAGGAATATACATAGCACCCAAAGACAAGAGCTAAGGTAGCCTGTTAAGGAACAAGGCAGAAACACTCACTGAAAGGATTATAACATAGTTTAAAAACACTCCTGTTCCTTCGGCCCACCCCATCCCAGCTCACTCTGCTGGGTTGCTATCTTGCTGATCATTTGACCTTCAGCTAGCAGCTGTAGCCAGTCTGGGTGGGGTTTGGGAGGACAAAACTTCAGTAATGATCTATCTGGGAAAATCAGGGGCCATCATGTCTGCAGGAACTCACAGGAAGTGCCAGTATTTCAGGATATCAAGGACTTGCCCATAGGGAGCTCCTTCAGGGGTAACAGCCACTCAAGTCAAGGTCAGGAATCCCCTGGGAATGACTTCCCTCACCAGCCATTGTAAATCCCAGGGGTGTCGTGATACTCCTTGCTGGCATCCTGACCCCCTGGAGGAGCTCAGAAACGGGTGCTCTGATAGCGCAGCCTGCGAATCTCAGAGACTCCATCGTCCCGGCAGTACAAGTCCCTACCGGGACTTTGTGCCAGTCACCGGCCTCCTGCTCCCCCGCCTCCCCCAGCACTGCTGCTGGTGCTGCTGGTGCTGCCTGAGCTGGAACTGCTGCAACGATCCTCATAGATAGAAATCTCAATCTGAAGGCAAGAAGATAAGGACACCAAACAAATGCATGAAAATCCTGCTCCGTCCCATATTCAGCCAAGGAGGCCCTCTCTCAAATATACACATCCTCCTGGAACTCAAAGTCAGTTTACATTACTGGCTAAGCAGGTATGGAGACATTATGTTAGTCATGCCACTTGCTCTCTCTCCTCACCCTTTTCTTTTGTTCTTTCACACATACATACACCCATACACGTACACACAGGGAGCAGATCACCTTACCTCTTTTCCCAAGCCAAGCTACTGGTCAGTGTCTGTTCACACACACATCACAGCCAAATCCCAAGGTTGGCAAACCAGTGCAGAGTTAAGTCTTCAGTCAATGTGGAGTTCATCCTCCTTTGCCTTACTCTTCAGTAGTTCAGGTGAGCAGAAAGAGCTACAGAACTACAGTAGTCTGCCTAGCTTCTAGGGACTCAACCTCTCAAGTTACACAAAATACCTGAAGACTTAGCAGTTGCACGCACACAGTTTGGTAACCTTGGTCAGTTTTAACCCATTTTCAGAGTTTGCAATAAAGTTAATTCAGCAACCAACTTAAATGTATTGTGCAAGGGAGATATGAGCCATGTTGGGGCAAGAATAGTGAAAACAAAAAGGTATGCCTCTGAAAGATGCAGGATTGACTTACCACTTCATTTCACTTCATGGCAAATTAGGCAATAGTTACCCAGATCAACTGTACACTGTGTGAAAATGTACCTATATGTTTTATCTGGCATCAACGGATGCCTTCTTCTGAAATAACCCTTCCCAGTATCATGGCCTCCAGATGTATTAGACACTATAGCCAGGCCAGGCTGTCTATACAGTAGTAATGAAAGTTGTAGTCTTACCCACCCAGAGGATGCTAAATATTAAAATGATAGAAAGTGGTAAAAATGTTTTCAACCATCCTAACTTCTCATTATTTCCCTACCACCTTTTTTTCCGAATCGGAGTCCCTCTCAGAGTCTTAATCAGGCCTGGGGAATGCATGGTAAACTATAGGAAGAACCTGAATAATTTCTATCTCCTGTATAGTGTAGGCGTCTTCCCTCAGTGTCACATCTATGCATTTTATGGCATTACTGATTGAACAATATTTATTTATTTAATTGCTAGGTTTCTATGCCACTTCCTACAGGAGCTCACAGTAGATTACAAGGAGATCTTCCTTAACTATCCAACAATAACGACTCTGTGAGAGCTTGGACGCGCATGTGTGACTGGTCCAAAGTCACCCTGTGAGCCTCCATGGTTAAGGGTGGACTTGAACCCAGGACTCCCCATTCCTAGACTACTGCACCAGACATCATTGGGCTGGTGAAATCATCTGTCCTATTGTAAATGTGAGCACCTTTGAGAATCACTATCACCACAATATTTTACAGAGATAGATAGATAGATAGATAGATAGATAGATAGATAGATAGATAGATAGATAGATAAAATCCACCATGACCCCATAAATCAGACCTAGCTAGTTAGTTTTAGGCAGTCATGTATTTTGTTTTCATCCCTGACATCAACCAAGGATACAACTCTCATGCCCCGCTCCACTGGGTCTGTCAGCAGAAGCCCTCGTGGGGCATAGATTTTCTCATTCTGCTCCTGGATATACTTGGAGATCTTCTTCAGAACCTGAAGAAATAATTAGAACCAATCAGGACCAAGTGAATGCCCATTTCATGTCCACAGATAATAAGTAGTATAAACCTGAGAAGGTATAAACAAGTTCCAAGTTTTCTTAGAGATTGTGCATTATTATAAAAATGAAAAAAAAATCTTGGCTCACTGATAAGTGCACTTATTTATCCATCATGTTTTATATGTGCACTTACAATATTTTAGGGACTTTCCTCAGTTACAGTTACTATAACACATACAGGCTGTAGCAACCTGCTTTTTTTCCTTGCCATGTCCTCATGATATTGCCTTCATCTCACTCCCTTAAAGCCATCCTTAGCTGTTCCAGTGTTAGAGTTTTTCCTTTTAAGTTGGGGGCAAGCCATGACAGCTTTTTCATGGGTGCTTCATCAACCATTCAGTCAGTGTGACAGTCAGGTGACTCTTAAGAGGAGGGATCAGCCCAGTGTCTTTTGGTCATTGTAGGCTGGTGCAGACCTGCTCCCCTCACCACTCCAGTCCCTGGGCACTGTCTTCAAACTTGTTTTGTTTGGAATATCAAGAGAGTTTCCTTTTTTTTCCAAGCCAGGATTTCAATCGTACTTGCCAGGCCTCTAAGCCAATCCCCAGCCAAACAGGAGCTAATCAGTGAAGCTGAAGAGAGAGAAGTCTAACACTAACACTAACACACACACACAGACACACACACAAAATCAATCAATCTCTCTCTCTCTTGCTTCATAGTGCAGTTCTTTCCATGCCTGTCAGGTGACAGTCATCCTCCTTCTGAACATGGGTTTCATGCTATCCCAAAATATTATTATTTTGGAATCCCATTAAAAATGTGGCCAAAATGGCACTAAAACCTGTATCCAATATACCTGTGCAAAACACAAAACCAGAGTGAGGTATGACAGATCTATCAAAACTCACCTCTTCCTCCAGCCACAGCCCATGTTGCAAAGAGAGATTGATGGACGTTTCCCTGCTGGCTAGTGACATTTGTGGGGAGTAAGTCAAACAAAGTCAGGGGGATCCATACCTACTCTCCTTAACATGCCCTATATACCATAAACAAGGACAGCCTCATTTGCCAGCATTCTGCCAGTGGCAGGATAGAGATTGTTGTAAAATGGATTAGACTTCTACCAGCAAAATAATTGGATGGTAGCACTTTAAATCAGCCTTGAAAAAGAACCCTTAGTTATATAATTAAGAAACAGATTGTATGGTATGCTGTGCAAATAAGGGCAAATTGATTGGCCACCACAAAGACAGTGCAGAAAGTTGTCAGGTAGGACAGTTCTTCACCCTCCCTGTCAGATCAGGCTGGACGCAGACAATAATTTCTATTGAAAGGATTTTGAGAGAGGTTTTGCATCCCACCAAATGCATGCATATTTCTTCTATCCTTATCAACTCAGATCAAACATGTTTTACAGATTTTGGAAGCAATCCAAAAATTGGTCAAATAATTTTAACAATCTGGAAACTGGAATAGATGCACAGTGAGTGGTGTGGTGGTGCCTTTAAATAATCTTTAACTGTCTCTAAAAAAATTAATAAAGTAGGCCAAATGGACCAGTGGCATATTCTTGTTCATCCCTTTTGCATTGTAAAGTAGACAATTTCTTGAAAGATGCTACAAAGGGAGGGCCTTAAAATACTACATGGCCCTTCTATCTCCCATAATATTTTTAAAGATACCACCATGCTGTGTGGTATGCTAAAGATGGCTATATATGATGAAAAGCACAGATCAGAGTGTGAAAAGAAGGGAATCTCTGATTAGATTTAAAAAAAAAAAAACTAATGGGGAGGGTATTAAAATGAATTGTAATGCTGTTAATGCAGAATTAAATTGTCATTGTAATGCAGGTAGAAGTTTTTTTTCCTTCCTTAGACTATTTCCTTGATCTAAATACCCCTTCATCTACTATTTGCCCCACTAATAATAATATACACAAGTAAAAGCATGCTTCAGTGGACATAGAACATTTGAGGAAGGTAATAAGACAAAGAATGTGAAAAATATATCTTTAAAACCAAACCTTAAAAGCACTGAAATCCCAATGCAGTTATATCCATCAGAACCACTTTGAAGGATGAAAAGGACAATTTTGGAAGATTTAATCACATAGCTCCTGTATCATGTCTATTTCAGCCTTTTAGTATGCCACTGTGCATTATTTATTTCAATAATTTTGTAAAATTAAAATAGTTATATTGATATTGTTGCATTTCCCTACTTTGGGGCCCCTTAATACGGGATATTAAACACCTATTATATTAATTATTGTAGTTGCTCTATTATGTCCTCCAAACCTTCTCATAGTGGGTTTCCATGCAAAGAAAGATGAAATAGGCTGTGGCACAGGCCAGACATCCCTCCAGGTAGGAGCTGCCCCCAATTTTCTCAGCCTCCGCATAGAAGTTGTTCAGGGTCTTCACTGTTTCCTCAAAAAGTTGCCGTTCAATCTTTGGAAGGGGAAAAGAGAGGAAGTGACGTAAGAGTGATATGCAGGATGTCATTTTAATGACTACTGGTGTTCTCCCTTCATGCAGATGCCAAAAGGGAGAACAGAGACATTGGTAGATCAAAAGAAGAGATGCTGCAAGAAGCAATCATGTATGTGCAAGCATTCATACTTTTGAAAGAAATTGCATTTATACTATGTAGTTAACATGTGATTGCAACAATTAACTAATTAGGAAAAATCCCTCAAAGTGTCAGACGTATTCACAACTCTTCAGATACTCAACCACACCCTCTGCACTCAGTTACTAGCTAACAGCAGAACTTCAAGGACTCATTGTGGTTAGATAAGAGCATTATTGCAAACTCTGTCTATGCAAAAGGTCAGCTACTACAGAATTCAGAAATCTAACCTTGTGTGGATGTGTGGGTGCATGTACCCAGGGATTAAATCCTAGGACTCATTTGTGGCAACAGACACTTTGTTGCTCTTTTTCTCAGACTGGAATGTGGAGGGCACCTGCATCCTGTTTACATAACAGTCATGCCTGGTCTGAAATTCTTTGGTTTCTACTTTGCCATGTCAGCCCTTCCACAAAGAAGTAATGTACATGTAGATCCAGTGGGGCCCGGGAGTGTGCCTTCTCCATAGCTGCTCTGGCCTTTTACAATAGCTTCCCAACTGAGATTTGGGAGGGCACCCTAATAGCCTTCCAGAAGGTGATGAAGACCTGGCTCTTCCCCCAAGCATTGGGCTAGGATGGAGTTGAGTCAAGGGGTCAGTAGTATGGGTGATTATGGCCCATTTGTGGGAAGGGTACAGTGTGTTTTTATGGCTTGTTGTGAACTGCCTAGGATCATTGGATTAGACAGGCAGCCATATAAGTTCTTTAAATACATAGTTAGAAAGCCACTGAAACAGTCATAGAACATTAGTGGGACATCATAGCTTAATCTGACCTTCATACTGGTTTGATATATTTGATACTAGTTTGATATATTTGATACTAGATACTGGTTTGATATATTTAATTGACTGGGTTTAATCTGACCTCCAATCTAGATACTGGTTTGATATAAAAGTTTGCTATACAGTGTGAGAGTATGAGCCATGAGAACCACATGAAATAACAGATTGTACCCGACTGTCCAATTCAGGAGGGAATTTGGTCTGGAACTGACAGATGGTCCCATCACTGTAGTCTCGCTGTATAAAAACCTTGGTAGCCAATGAAGCACTCCTCCGCAGTTCTTGAAGATTGTGGACCTGAAGAAAATTAAAGGTAGGAGGTTGCAACAAGAGAAAATCCTACTATAGTTGTGGTGGGAGCTCACACTGTATACATGGACTTCTTTTCATTCCTGGATTGCTCTGTGCTTCACTGTGTACTTCTCTTCATTCTTCACAGAGACAAACCTAATTCTCCCCTAATCACATTGCATACCAAAGTCCTCCCCAAGATCATTTATCCACTAATATGCTTGTTTTGTTTTGTTTGTTGTCTTAGAGGGGAAATGTTAAAGAGTAAGTGGAGAAGTCCAAGGGAAACATGTTCTATAACATAGTAAGGGAGCAATGCAATATGGACAGCATCACAAAAGAGTAAGTGTGTTACCCCATTAAAGACATCTTAGAACATTTAATCTTATACATCTCAATTGCTTAATCAACCATTTAAGAATCATCAGTTATTCCTGAAGGCACTGAGAAGCTACTTAATTATCAGGCTTGTTTAAGAAAAATTGTAAGTGGCCTAACTAAGCAGACTCAATGATTTCTGCTTCTACGGAGAAAATTCATACCATCAGCACCACTCAAATGGAAGGTCATTCAACTGTATCCCAGTCACGCAGTCATTGATCACTACATATAAGTAGGGACAGTTGGGATTGGGACAATCTCTAACTAGCACCAACATCCACATTAAAATGCATATTAATTATAAAAGTAATTGGGATATGGGTGGAATGCTGAATTTGTTTTTAAATGATGTTTCATGAGTCACTGCAGGCACCATCTTCAAAGTGTGTTTCTTTTTGTATAAGCAAGGATACCTTTTCTGACTGCTATCTGCAGGTGCTTTTAGGTATGTACTTCAGTTAAGAAGGTGAATCTGCATATTTTTATATGAAAAATATTACTCTACTACCTAATTACATAGAGAAATACCTTCTTAATTAGCCAAAATGTAGACAATGAAAGTAGTCTTTAATTTTACATTTCCATACTACACGCCCCAAAAAGCATTAAAAGATCTTTTATGAGGCTGTGATACAGAACACCAATATCCCACTATTCCTTCATTCTAGCTTTCTTCGCATTCAAATAGCAGACACAGAGTGGTCCAAATCCAGTTCTGATTGGGATCATCAGAACTTGGTTCTCATTATAACTATGGGGTATGTCAAGCTGAAAGAATATGACTTTCCTCAAATCACTCAGTAAGCTAAGTGGGGATACAACTGGATTTCAATCGCAGTTATCTATATTTGAGCCCATCATAAAAGATCATGTTCTCACAACACCCTGAATTATGCACTAACTAACTACATTTATTCTAGTATATTATTATTGAGATGGGACGGAGTTCATTTGTTAACTAATGTCACATAACAGAAAATAATTTAAATTAGTAAGCTGAATGAAGATGTTCAGGCATTGTGTTACAGAAGATGAGAAGGTACTGAATATTTAGCTTTTGATAAACATTAAAAAATAAAATAACTATATTTTTGTCTATATATTTATGTATATATTTGCTTTCAAGTGAGTACAACTTAATGAAATACAATCAGGGTTAAAACAAAACAAGCCTAAATATCAAAGATTACACCAAAAGATAGTGTTGTGGACAAATCATTCTGTGTTATGGAGTTTTGTGGTGTGACACCCCCCCCCCATACAGGCATGGCATAGAGAAAGTGGACAGGAAGTCTCATAATGTTAAGGTCTGGGAACACTCAGCATAGATGATTGGAAGAAGATTCAGAACAGACCCAACTATTTTTTTCCCAAGTTGATAAAAACCATATAGAACTCATTAGTATTACCATGACATGATGACTAGTATTTTAGGTGGGTTTAAA